GGGAGGGGGGAGAGAAGGGGGATGAATAGTGGAGAAGTACCTGGGGGGTCAGATGTCAGGCAGGTTATAATGTGTCATAAATCTAAAGTCTATATTTAGTCCATGATTTTTAGTACCCAGGAGGTTAATGAAGTGGAGTTCATAGGTTCATCTCTGAGAAGTGTTTTGGAAGTTCCTTTGAGGATCAGGACTGAGAGATTGGAGAGAGAGTGGTTTTCTTGTGAGCAATGTACCCCCACAGGTCCTTGGGTATTCTTGTCTTTGACAGATTTCATTCATTCAGACACATTCATTCTGGTGCGCAGTTGCTGTTTGTCCTCTCCTATGTATTTTCCATCAGGGCATTTGGTGCATTGGATGAGGTATACTACATTTCTGGAGGTGCAGCTATAAGATCTGGGAATGCTGATGGCTCTGTTGTGGGGTGTAGTAATAGTGGGGGTGGTGGAGATGTGGGGGCAGGTTTTACATTTCTTGTCCTGGCACGGTCTGGATCCTTTTGGTGTGTTCTGGGCCCGAGGAAGTTTGCTTCTGGTGATGAGGTTGGCGAGGTTTGGTGCTTGTTTGAAGGCTAGGATGGGTGGCTCTGGGAAGATCTCTTTAAGAATAGGGTCTCTGTCTAGTATGGGTTGCAATTGTTTGAAGATTTTCTGTGTGGGTTCAAGGGAGGGGTGATACGTCATAACCAGCGGTGTGCGATTTGTGGGAGGTTTCTTCTGTACTGCAGCAGTTCTTCACATGGTATCTGGGTGGCTCTTTCAAATGTGCGATCTACCTCTCTGGAGGAGTGTCCTTGTTGGGTGAAAGCCTTTTTAAGATCGGTGAGGTGGCAATCCTGGGTGTTCTCTTCAGTGCAAATTCAGTGGTATCTGCGGGTTTGGCTGTACATCACAGCTTTTTGGTGTGTTTAGGGTGATTGCTGGCTCTGTGCAGATATGTATGTTGGTCTGAGGGTTTCTTGTATACTGTGGTCTGTATTTTATCATTCTGGATACTGATCATTGTGTTTAAAAAGGAGATGTTGGTGCTGGAGTATTCAAGAGATAGTCGGATGGAGGGATGGCGATTGCTGAATTTCTAATGGAACTCAATCAGAGATTGAAGGTTTTCAGTCCAAATGATGAAGATGTCATCTGTATTGCTGTTTTGGAAGAAGGGGTTCTGTTGGTTTCTGAGGGTTCATCACATGATGTAATGATATAGATGGCTTCATGTCAGGAAGGGAAGTGCACGTAACTGTTACATTTTAAAAACCCACTGGCCTCCTGTATGCATCAGATTCAAAGTTTAATATTTATTTTAATGAATGCCCTATCATTTATCTCCTGGGTGACTCTCAGCAGTCCCCTGGAGAGATCTATCTCATTCCTGGAGACTTGTGGGAAATCCTTGACGTTTGGCAACAGTACCACAAATGACCCCTCCATTTTTAAAATTAATTTTTACATGGCTTGGGTTAAAATTGCATGTGGCTTTCCCACTAGATAAGATAAGGGGTGAGATTGAGGCCTGATGGCCTGCTTCCTTTAAGGCATGTATGAGTGGCAGGCAAAGACTATTTCTCCTTGCTGGCCAGAGCTCCTCACTGCCTCTCATTGAGGGAACAGGGTGTGGGGTTGTTTTCATCCTTATCTCATCAGATCCATCTTCAAGTTGTGCTTTTCCATATTTGTAAATGCCACAGGGATGCAGGTAAAGGCAAGGAAAAATGAAGCTCAGTGGAAGCAGATGATAGCTGTTGCAGGTGTTGCTGGCTGATGGGAGTACACTGACTGCAGTCAGGCTGCCGCAACAAGGATCAGCATTTTCCTGTTTCTCCCTCCACTGCATTGGACGTTTAATATGCGGCTTCAGACCTGGCCCTCTTATCTTTTTTTAACTTTAGGGATGTGTCCTTGATCAAATGAAAAAGCCACATTATTGGATCTCTCTCCCCTTCTCTTCTTCCTTCTAAGTTTTGCTTTCTAATGTTTTTCCTGGTTTTCATTTTGTTCAGTCGCTTGGAAGGTTTGGATACAGCTGAGCTGTTTTGAGCCATTGCTTTTCGGTGGTTATTCTGGGCCTTTCATTCCCGCTCTTTGGACTTCAGGAAAGAGCTTTTTGGACAACTCTGTGGGCATCCTCTGCAGCATCATTCAGAAAGCGTTTCAGCATGTAGAACGTAGTGCCAAATGACACCCCTCCAGATAATATAGGTCCAGCAACAGGAACTAAATCCAAAAGCTCTTCAACTATCATCACTGCAAGACTTGCAGGCCTTGCCAGCATCCTGATTACAAACTCTTTGTTTATCGAGCTGGCTGTTGGAACTGCTTTTATCACTGACTTCAGCTCTGCCACAGGCTTGCCAACACGCTGAGCAAGTCTGCAGAGGGCAGCATCATCCAAGCCAAAAGCCTGGCAGTAACGTCTCATGTTTACCTCCAGTATGGCTATGTCAGCAATAATAGAGAGACCTGGGACAGGAACAGCAGAAATAGCCCCTGACAGCAGGGCCAACTTCCATATTTCCCTCTTAAATGCAGCTTTCTTCTTTTCCAGGATCTGTTCTGAGACATTGGGCAGGGCAAGGATGAAGGTATGTCTCTTCTCAACATCCAGATCATCCTCTAGTGTCTGCTGCAGCAGATGGAAATCATACTTGGCAAGATCGCAGCTGGAGATCAGGAAAACCTGTGAAAAAGACTCACCTGCCTCTCTCTTTAGGTTCTCGATGCAGTCATTGCGGATCTTCTGCAGGATTCCCTCCTCCTTGTAGGTGCTGGGTCTGCTCTTCTGCTCTGCCTGCAAACCAAAATCCACTTGGGTGCGCACGTAGTAAAACCTCTTTTTCATTTTCTGAATTTCCTGGGCAAGCTGGGTGTGGTGAGTAGTGAACCAGCTGGCAGTGAGGATGATGAAGAAGTCATATTTTTGGGAACTCACCTGCTCAAGATATTCGTCTGCTTTGAATTTGTGAGTTCCAATACGTGGCAGGTCCCAGATTGTAACATTCGGGAGGGTGGGGTGTGGATAAGACTCTGGCTGCATTGTTGTTTGCACTTCCCCAGTCTTAGCAGCACCTGCATCTTCATCCCCAAGGCCCCGGATGGCATTGACAAAGGTTGATTTTCCAGACCCTGCCTCCCCAGTGACAGCAATGTGAAGTTGAATCTTATCTAACGTCTCCAGCTTCTCTTGCAATTTCTTTGCTACAGCTTCAAGGTTTCCTGCTTCAAATGTTGTTTTCATTTCTTCCATCTCATCCTGGGATAACGTCATGAATTCTTTCTCATCTGCAGGCAGGTCTTTTGCAGCCATGATGGCCCAGGTGAGCGGTTGTGTTGGTCTGTGCTACGAGTCATAGAAAAGAGAAGGGAAAAAAAAATTCACATGACTTACTCACACTTCAGGACAACTGTTCATGTGCCAGTCTGATTTCTTTGGGGAA